TACGGGGAAGTTATACTAATAACTTGAGAAAGGAAGTAGTTGCCTGGAAGGGCTTCCTTTAGCAAAACCAGGTCAAGACAGAGTCCCGGATGGAGAAGAAGCTCCAGAAGATGGTGACCCAGCCTGTATATGGAGCCCGGCCCCTGCCACCAGGGAGTGAGGCAGCTCCAGGGAGAAGTCTGTACTTTATTCCTGGCTTGGCAACTTCCTCTGGGTCTTGGTTTTCCCATCTGTATAATGAGCTGGAAGGTCTCTGAGGGGCTACCAGCTCAGACCATCTGTGTCCGCCAACTACAGTTAAATATGGCTTGAGACAAAACAAAATCTCCCCCATATCTGTCCCATCTTGGACTTTGAATTATATCTGGCCAGGCATTTCCCAAGCATTTGACACATATCCTATCTCATCAGGCCTATAAGGGAGGAGGCACTATTGTTATTCCCATTTTACACGTGAGTTTACTCGCCAAAGATCTATGTCAAGGAAGTACCAGTACTTGGATAGGTACTAGGCTTGAATCCAGGTCTCTCTGGCTCAGAGTTCATGTCTTGACCCTATGACAGAGGTGTCTCCAGCTCGGGTCTGCGCCGTGCCTTGGGTGGAACAGCGCCACCCAGCTCCTGTTCGCATGTGCGGTATCCCTGTCTCTTGGGCCCACTGGCCACACATTGCCTCCCCAGAACACCTGCCATTCACATGGAGTCTTCTGAGCCCTCAGAGAGGCAGGGAGCTGGCAGGGCCTCCTCTCCCCGCTTCATCATCCTCCCCTTCTTGTCCTCCCTCTGACTCAGGAGAAGCAAGGAGAAGGAAACGACAGAACATTGTTCCCTGTCTGTGTGTCCTGGGCACTGCCTCGGCTCAGTAAGCCACAGGCCATCTTCCAGGCCAAGAGGGGACCAAATCCCACCACCCACAGCACAGCTGGGCGACCCCACCAATTCTACTCAAGCTGCTCTGGGACATCTTTCATGCTTTTGACTCACGCTTGGGATGACTGACGAAAAGGAACAAATCCCACAGATGAATCTGTTATAGCTTTCTCACATCTTCTCCACGAGATGCCTCAGCAAAGCAGTGCTCCTTCTGTCCTGAGCACAGACGGTGCCTTCTCACCTTCCCAGTCCTCCTGCCCGGAAGCCCCCCGTGCCCACCGCCTCGGTGAGCCTTCCGCAGCAGCCCAGCCCTCCTGGGCCTCCCCCTGGGAACCTGAGCAGCATCGGGCATCTGCACAGTGATCTGCCAAGCCCACCTGGAGCTGGACAGCCAAGCCGTGCAGGTCATCAACTTCAGTCCTGCTGCGGGCGGGGCCTGCCCTTATATCTACACTGTGGGTCCTTCATTGGATGCTCGCTAAGCCAGCTGTTTCTGACCATGCGTGAGCTCAGCACCAGGGGCAGGGATAAACGAGGCAGGGTTCCTGTCCCCGGTCCCCCACAGTGTGCCCCCGCTCGACAGCAGATCAACACCGACCTGCTGAACGACCACATCTGGATTCACCAACAGCAACAGTGCAATGTCCCAAAGGGGAGGATGGGGCGGAGAAGGCGTCAAGAGTCTAGGCTTTGGTGTCAAGATCCATTTTGCAGTTATATACTAATTGTAGGGCTGGGGTTCCTGGGCAGATCACTTAATCTCTCTGAGCCCTAGTTTCCTCATCTGTGAAACAGAGATGCTGCCCAGTAATTATTCAGTAAATGTTCCTACTGTAATTGTGTCTTTCGTACCATTTTACTTTCAATGACATCTTCCCACCTTCCCACACAGATAGGGAGGTTTTCCCCCTCAGTCAACACAGCACACTTCACTTCTGGAATACTCTGAAAACCTCATGTCTTGTTCCTTGGTCAGCAGGCAACGGACTCATGTCCTTGGGAGGCAACACCAGATCTACCTTAGCATGGTGCTCCCATGAGGGAGCTGCTTCATGGACCCAAATGCCACCCCCAAGTGCCTGGGGGTCAGCCCAGCCCAGGGACCTTGTGGGCTCCTGGAGTGAGGCCCACCCTAATGGCCCAGCCCAGCCGTCATGGAACTGAGCGAAGTAAGCCATGGAATGAGGTGGAAAGCCCACCGCAAAATACAGAGGTCCTAGCATGCTGCCGCTGACTCTAGTACTTCGGCTGGAAGAGAAGCCTTAAATCTCTCAGCAATTAGGAAATGGATCTCAGGTGGCCTCTCTCTGGATCTCAGTGGGGAGGTTTTGCCAGTTAGACGCCCCTGGGCCCTAAGCAGCCTCTTTAGCAATCGCTGGGCTGGGGGGTGGGTAGGAGCGGAGTGCCTGGGGAGGCTCAACAGACTCTCCAGTGCCAGCTGCAGAGTCCGCTCCCCACTCGGGTGGCAACAGGAAGCAGCCTAGTCTCTACTTTCAGCCCAGCAATACATGGTGTCCGTGGGCCTGGGCCTTGCTCCTGGATTCAGCACCGGGAGGGAGGAAATGGCTCATTCCCACCATGAGCTCTGTCTCAGAATTCTGGGGGAACAGGAGGCAGAAGGGCCCTCCCAGCACCGTGGACCTGCCATTCGTGTATTAAAGGTGTTTAAGACCACAGAGTCTCCTGCAGGCGCCTGAGGCGAGGACAGGCTCTCACTCACGAGTTACTCTGGTTCCTGGGCTGGTGGATCCCCTCCCTTCCCCACAGATTTGTTCTGGAGGAAATGAAGGGGACCAGGCTCAAGCCCTCTCCTTGTACCCTCGGTTCTTATGAGATGGGGGCAGGATGCGAAGGGCTGGATGGAGGATCTGGGAATACTGGGTGATTTCCCTTTTTTAGGCTGGGCTGGTCTGAGGACCCGAGGGACCTGGGCCAAACCGTGTGGAGTTGTGCAAGCCCACATTCACCAACACTGTACAAGGCTGGGCACCACTTTCCAGCTATAGATGATAAAGCCCTCTTCACACTGCAGAGTACATGCCCCGACCCCGGAGCAGCCCTTCTCAGGGAGCAGCCCAGACACTGCCCGCCTGCTGCACACCAGGCTGGCCTCTGAATGGCAGCCTGGGATGACTCACCCAGGGGTGTTATAACTGGGAACCCCTGGGTTATTTCTGATGAAATCCAGAAACTTCATTGTACACCCTGATTCAAGCCAACAAACACAGCCACAAAGCCCCAAAGGATTAAATATGTCCCCGCTCAAGGGAAATACTAATAAAATACGGCTTCGGCACATATGAACATAAAAATCCCTAAAACATCCTATAAGACAAATGTAGAGGCAAGCTGAGCTCACTCTGTTGTCCTTAAATGGCCTGTCACCCAGGATCCCAGAGGTAAGTGACATTGAACCTCATGATGTAATTATTCTCAACACCGTGTATACTTTATCAGAGCAGAAGCCCTGGACACAGCTGGCACAAAGGGTCTGGGGCTGACTTGGAGCTTTCACATTATTCTCTGGTGCACAGACGCCCTGCTCAGGCCTGCTTGGTGAAAGCAGTGATGCCCAGCTGGGCGTGGCTGGACACGTCTAATTTCCCTGGAGTGCTGATCTGCCATGGCACTGTGATGGCTTGTTTGTTGTGATGGCTGGAGTGGCCAGCCGTGTGACAGAGGGCAGAGCACAAGCCCTGGGTCTAGAATGACACCTACCAGTGGTGTGACCCCAGGAAAGTGACCTTACCTAGAGACCCATCCATAAAGTGGGTTAAAATTATACCGATTGGGAGAGTCCATGTGATGTGTTAGCCCAGGGACTGGCCAGAGAAAGTCTCAGAAAACTATTGTAATTGTTGATGTGGTCAGCAGCAGGGGTTAATTCTTCTCAGTTTCTGGGAGTCCTGGCAACACAGGGGCCTGTGAGAAGCAGAGAAAACCTGCGGCAGCCTGCTGAGGTTCTGCTTGGCTGGGCCCAAGCTGAGGCTCGTTAAGCCTCTGGGGGAGGGAGGTGGGAAGCAGACCCTTTTGCAGAAAGTAAGGCCTCCCAACTGGATAAGTGATTTGGGTCCACAGTACCTGGAGGAGGAGTGGCATGTTCTAGACAGTGTCTGCTTCTCACTGGATCAAGACCACAACAGCTTGCCATCTCCATGTCACTGTAATCGAGCAGGACCCTATGGGGCCTTCCCGGGACAGACTCCCTCCCCAACCCCCATGTCCTCCACCTGCCTCTTGTCTATAGAAAACCTTTAGACTCCCAGGCCTGCCCTGAGTGCCAAAGAATAAATTTACTCAGACAAGTGAGAAAATGCAGAAAGGAAAACAGTTAAGCAAGACAAAATAATAATAGTTTAGTCATTAAACAAAGTCAAGGACCTTTAGTTCCTCCTCAAGGGCTATAGACAACATTCTGAGCCGTGTGCTTTGAGCTGTTTTGCAGATCCTGAAACCCCCACCAGGTGGAAGAAGTTAACTCTATGCTGTCCACAAGTACATAGAACCCAGACCGGTTGGAATCAGAAGGTTGACAGTGTTGACTCCCGATTACCTCACCACCAACCAATCAAAAGAACGTACACGAGCTTATCACGCGCCCCACAGCACCCCCCCTCCCAACCCCCTGTCTTTGAAAACCTCTCCCTGAAAGCCTTCAGGAGTTGGGTCCTTTTGAGCGCTAGCTGCCTGGACTCCTTGCTTGGCACCCTCCAGTAAACGCTGCACTTTCCTTCACCACAATCCAGTGTCAGTAGACTGGCTTTACCTTGAGCAGGCGGGTGGACCCAAGTTCGGTTTGGTAACATCACCTACAGGGCACACTCCACATTCTACAGGGGCCTGCTGGAGATGCTGGGTGCGACCTGCCTAAGTGACTCACCCCCTCCCACCTTGACTCACTTCATCAGAGGAGGCTTTGGGGAAAGCCAGACCAGGAAATGAGTTGGCAGACTCTGCCCCTGCCTGCCCACCCCCCTCCCCAGTCCCTCTTTACTTACAGGAAAGATGGGACATTTTGGGGTCAGGTATTTCTTTAAGAAGTCAGAATGCAGGAGGGGAGGAGGGTTGTTCTGAGCAGCGTTTGGGAACACTTTGGGGGGACAACATGCATGGAGCCATTTACTAACCATTCACCTGCAGGACGTGGGTCTGGAACAGCTGCTCGTAGCCAGAGGCATGGCAGGTGTAATTGCCCATGTGGATGGTGGTCACCTTGGTGATGTAGAGGGAGTCGTCCTCTCCAAAGTCCTGCTTGGGCAAGGAAGACAACAAGATTGGCTTCTCTGCTGAGTAGCCTGGGAAGCATAGCCAGGTCTCTGGTTTTGCAGGAAAACAGAAACCCTGTAGCTGCGAGAGACTTCCTTTCTGCCTGGCCCCCTTACTCAGCCAGAGCTCCCTGCAGGGCTGGGCAGCAGGACCTCCATGTCTCTTCCGTGTTGCTTGCCCAGACCCTATACATCCTCTTAAGATCTTGTTCACCTTCTCTGTGAGGTCTGGCTTGAACACCTTCCCCAGCACCCTCCCTCTCCATTTCTACAACTGGGCTCACCTGCCCCTCCTGTGCTGCTGCTTGGCTGGTTTCCTCAGCTCTTGTCCACCTGTTGAGAGGCTCTGGAGGGCGGCCTCCTTTAGGGTCAGCCATCTTTTTCTTAAAGGGCCAGATAGCAAACGTTTTTGGCTTTCTGGGCCATAGGGTTTCTGTCAACTAGTCAGCCCTGCCTTGTAGCATGAAAATAGCCATACCAATGCCTAAATTAATAAGTATCACTATGTTCCAATGAAATTTTATTTAAAAAAATGTGGTGGGCTGCCTTTGGCCCATGGGCTATAGTTTGCCTACCACTGGTTTAGATCTCACCTCCATCTCCAAATAATTTCAGGCAGCTTACAGAGATCTGGGTAACCGAAGAGAAGGGAAATTGAACTCTGAGGAAAATGAGGGCAAACAAAAAACAAGGGCAGGGATGTACTAGAGAGCAGGAGGGGCTGATGCCAGGGGTTCCATGAGAAATGACTCAGTAAGCCCTGTCCCTGTGACCTCTGCAGCCTCACAGAGTGGGATCCTATTTGGCCAGCACATGGGGAGGGATGGGCAGGAGGGGGCTTTGAGCTGGTCAGAGGCCCCTGGTGAGCACTGGGCACACAGCACTCCCCCAGGGCCTTTCCAGCCAGCTGCCTTGTCTCCTGCAGAACAATGCACAACGCTGGCCCTGTCCAGGCACCAACTGCAGACATGCTGGGGAATGGAATTACCGGTGTTTCAGGGAGACCTTTCATCATGTTTGGCTTTAGCTACCAAACATCTCTGAGGTGTGGTGCTCAGAGCTGATGGGACAGAGGAGGTCCTGGCTCCCTGGTGAGAAACAGGGCTGGGCAGTACTAGGTGTGAGGAGTGATGGGGGAAGCCAAGTGCTGGCACTCAAGATACTCAGGTTTTAGCTTGAACTCTGGCACTGACCAATGTTCCCTCATCCCTCTGGGCACTGGCTTCCCCACCTGTAAGTTGTGGACAATTTATATGCCCTATCTGCCTCCTGGGGTAATGGGGAGATCTGGCAAGAGAATGCCCATGAGTACATTTTCCAGTGTGGGAAGTGTGACATACATGGGGGCTGCTACTTTCCTTACTATTAACAGAAGATGCAAAACTCCTCTTGACCCCCTGGAGACAACACCAAACCATCCCTCCCGTCATTCTCCCTGTCCTTCCTGAGCTTCCTTTTTCCACAGAAGCAATCTCGTGGCAGGAGGGACGGAAGGCCACCAGTCAGTGTGGCACAAGGATTGTCCAAGGGCCCAGCCACAACCATCATGAGTCCTTTAAAGATGCTTTCGGGCTAATTAACCCAATGAAGGGTGCAGGCCCAAGAGAGGTTTGGGTTAAGGCACAGGTTGGAAGGTGGAGAGTGGATGCATGCAGCCTGCTTTCAGTATCAAGGAAAAAATACTCAGAAGTGCTCCCAGTGGAGTGAAATACTGGAGAAGGCTGCTGTAAGAAACCCTTAGAGTTTTCTCTGAAACATTGCTCTGCTGTAAAAAGCCCCATTCCTATCATGCAGTGGAAGCTTCCCTAATAAAAATAAAATACCAGATAGCTTATTTGTCCTGTGCCATAACAGAGACATAAAGGGTTCATACCTGAGTTGCTTATGAAAAGTTAATGGTTAGTCAGTTCTGGGGCTGACATATTTCTAATCTAAGCTGTTTCCTGTGTCAAAACCTAAATCTGCAGGAAAATACATTTTGCTTGGAGTCTCAGTGGTGGAATGGCATCTCGAAAGAGGGCTGGGGAGCTGGGTGCGGCCCCACCTTGGGGAACCTCAATACCTCACTTGGTTGGTTCCTGGACAGACTCCATCCCAAAGGGCAACACCAGAGCTGTTTGTAAGGGGTTTGGTGCTGGGGATCCCCTGGCATTTCCCTCTGTTTTGCCTTCTTGAGCCTTCATACCCACAGCCCTTCCTCACAGGAGGGCCCTCCTTGTAGTCAGTCTCAGGTTCTGGCACCCCCTACTCTTCTCGCCACCTCAGTGGGGTTGGGTGGTCATGGGACCCTAGGCTGAGAAGAGCCCCCAGGCTGAGGTTCCCACAGATCAACTGCAGAGTGGTGCCCAGTAATAACACCAGCTTACAGTCTCCACGAGCTAACTGTGTGCTGGGAATCTTGACATACGTCGCTTTGTTTAAGCCTCAGAAAAAACCCTGAAAACCATAAAGCAAAACAAATGCCCAGTCCCCATGGGGTGAGAAAGTAGAGCTCTCCTGCGCAATATATTCAGAGTCTGACCTTCTCTCACCGCCTCCACTGCTACTGCCGTGGGCCAGACGCACGGTCCTCCGCCTCTGCCCCTCTGCGCCGCAGCCAGGCCACGCCCCCCTCACTCGGAGTCCCAGCCCTAGAGGGTCTGCAGGGATGACCTGCCGTCCCCTCTCCGCCCCGTCTCCTTCCACTCTCCCTTGCTCATTCCTCTCCAGCACTGTGGCCCCTTGCTGTTGCTCCAACATGCCTGGCATTCTGCCCCCTCAGGAACTTTCTCCTTGTTGTCCCACTACCCCAGGACTATCAGTCTGTCTTGCTCTACCTCCCTGAAGTCCGCTCATATGTTATCTGCCGGCCCTATCTGTAACCCCCATGGGGCACCTGGCACGCACTTACTCCCATTTAGCATACTGTTTGCCACGTGTCTCCCCAACTAGAATGTGAGCTCCACCCTCGTGCCTGGTGCTCACTGCTGTGTCCCCAGTGCCTAGCGGGGCCTGACACAGAGTAAGCCCTCAGTAGACATTCGCTGAGCAGACTGTACAAGGCGCTGAGCTAGGCTCTCTGCAGGGGCTGTGTGTGCCCTGGTTCCCGTTCTTTGGGTTTGACAATGGAGGCGCCCACCTCCTGCCTTCCTGTGCCCCAAAATGTTACCAATCACCCGGGGTCCAAAGCAAGTGGCTGGTGGGGAGGCAGAGAGCTGGTCTCAAGTCTTGTCCCTGCCTTTCCACCCTGCCCCCTTCTCCATGCTGCATCCTCAGGCCTGGGCACACTGGGAGGGCTCAACTCAGTGCAGCAGGCAGAGCCCATGCGTGTAGTCCCAGACCGGGCTGATGGCTTCTGGGAGCCCCTAACAGAGTTGCTTAACCTCTCTGTCTGTTTTTCCTCACTGCTCCTGGGAGCAGAGGCATATCTCTTGGGTGATCGCTCAGGGGTGGAGGTGTGTGGGTTGCCGGATGCGTTATGGCTCTACTTTGAGCACCTAACTCATTATCAGCCTGTGAGTTAGGCTCTGGGGAGAACCTGACTCTGTACTAAATAAAATAATGGCTCTGGGCTGAAACAATAGGCATCATATAATTATAGAAAAAAAGTGCATATTATTTTCTGGAGCATGAATACTGGCTACAGAAATCAAAGTTACCTCATCGGATGTAAGGAAATTACTTTATAAATTGATTTATGAAATTACATAAAACTAAACCTGCAATCCTTCTTCTCCTGAAGGTTTTCTGAGGTGTGTCTGAATGCTGCTATCAGTGCTTGATTGCATCTCTGAAACTGTCTTTTTAGGGATGGCTTTTTTTTCTTTTGCTCTGATGCGTAGAAATGTATTAGCAAAATCAAGGTTCCTTCCAGAAATAAGCAGATGCCAGATTAGATCATTCTTTGTATTGATGCGCATCTGTCTTCGGAAAAGAGACAGTTTTACTTAAAGATACGTTTTTTTGTTTTTGTTTTTTTGCCTTTAAAAAAGCTATTTTCTAAGTGTCTGCCCTTAATAAAGTAATTAAATGAAACTTCAGTATTAAACAATATTTAAGCAGAGGCAAGATGGGGGATGTTGTCATGGTGATACATGTGAGTCAGGTCTAAGTAATATGAAGATGAGCCATCAGTGCTGATTATTTAGTGACTAAACATTAGACACAAGGACTCCAGAGTGATTTCAGAGGTTAGGTTAATGGTACTGTCAGGGCTACAAAGTTTAGGAACATTTATTCAGAGCTTTTCTAGCTCTGCCCTCCTCAGGAGCACTCTTGGCTCTCTTTGGAGAGGATGGAGTAAAGGAGAGGGTCTTTTCCCCCAGGCTGGTTTGACTCTGGCCCCCAGAATTTCACTAACCCTAGCATCCCACCTGCACAAATGCACCCAAACACTGAGCGATGCAGTGCCTTGGTGATGGCCGATCCTCAGAGATGTCTGCACTCACATGAACACACACATCCATTATCCAGACCCAGCAAAGACCAGATGCATCATTTGGTGGGCACAGACCAACATCCTTGTGAACACATGCAGTAAACAGCATGTGTGCACACACATGTTCCAAACCCCTGCTCTCTCTACACAGCTGACCCCTCGGACTCACACTGGGGTTCCCGTGTTGGTCACCTCCTTCTAGCCCCTCAGAGGACAGACCTGTCACTCTGCGAGGGCCTGCAGAAGCAGTCCTCTTGATCAAATTCCTCTTAAAAAAGAAGTCTCTGCAACTTGAAGCAATGCCTAAGTGGCCACTGAGCCCCCAGGGGAAGGCTGCTATGGACAGTCACGTTCGGTGTGAGCAGCCTGGAGTGGGTCTGTCCTCCTGCCCACTCCCAGGCCTGGCCCAGGACAGGGAGCCACAGGTGTGGGAGAAGGCACTGTGGGGAGGCTCCGGGCTTGCCCAGGACTGTGGGGAGTGTGCAGCCACTTGCTGCCTGGGGTTTATGTGGTCAGTGCCAAAGGGGAGGCACCTCATCTCTCTGTGCCCATGTGTGGCATGGTGCCTG